GTTCTTTTTCTTTCTTTCAATACTTGAAATGTTTCACTTAATTCTCTTCTTGTTGAAGAAGAGAATTAATTGAAACATACAGAGAGCCCATTGTATTTCTGATCCATGTTCCTCTACATGTATGGTTGTTTCCTCCCCGTCCCTAGTCCCAGCCCCAGTTTCCTTCAAGATTTTCTTTAATGTATTTGGAATATAGTATGTCTGTTATACATTCTGTAGCACTTATTTTGCTTGATCTCTGAGCTTTCTGGACCTGTGATTTGGTTTTGGTCATCATTTTTGAAAAATTCTCATCTGTTATAAGTATAGCTATTATTTTTTCTGATTCGTTGTCCTTTTCTGGTATTCCCATTACTTGAATATTACACCTTTTGTAATTATTGCACAGTTCTCAGCTGTTTTGTTCCATTTTCCTTATTCTTTTTTCTTTTTGCTATTTAGGTTGGGAAGTTTCTATTGATGTATATTCAAGCTTACTGATTCTTTCCTTGGCCATTTCAGTACTGGTGAGCCCATCAAACACATTCTTCATTTCTGTTGCAGTGTTTTTGATTTGTAGCATTTCCTATTGACTTTTTCTCAGAGTTCCCATCTTTCTGTTTATATTACCCATCTGCCCTTGTATATTATCCACTTTTTCCATGAGAGCAATTTTGCATATTAAACACAGTTATTTTAAATTCCTGGTCTGATGATTCCAAAATCTCTGCCATATCTGAATCCAGTTTTCATGCTTTCTCTGTCTTTTCAGATTGTAATTTTGTTTCTTAGCATGCCTTATAAGTCTCTGCTGAAGGTAAGATGTGATGTACTGGGTAAGTGGAACAGAGGCCAATAACCCTTTAGTTTGAGACTGCTTATCTGACTAGGAGCAATGCTGTGTTTACTGTTTGTGGTAGCTGTGGTGTCAGTGGCTAAACTTTCCAGTAGTGTGTTCTTGTTTTTGTTTTCCCTATTGTCCTTGGTTTCTCTTGAGGCTCCTTCTTAAATAGAATCCAAACCTTGCCCTTTTTCAGCTATCTCCTGTTAGACAGGAGTCCTATTGGTGTGCTAAGATATAGGGGAGGGGAAATGTTCTGCCTATGATTGGGTCTCAGTCTTTTCATGAACCTGTGTCCTCTGCTTCTCAGCCTACCCCTCTCCCCTTAGGTGAGACAGAAATACTAGAGGGGGCTAGAGTTAGGTAATTCCCGTCCTCCAGGTCAGTTAGGCTCTAGAAAACCCTAGTTGGTTAGGCTCTAGTAAAGTATTTTCCTTTTATGATGGGCAGCTATTAAAAAGAATAAACTATTCTGAGCTTATTTAAAAATTGTTACTTTCCCACTTCCTGTGCCAGAAACATGAATGAATTTTTCTCTGACCTTTACAGTGAGAACTCAATGGAGCTCTTGGAGGTAAAATTTATGATTAGGCCCAGGAATTTTTATCTCTCAGGCTGGTCAATGCTTCACCTTTAGGAATTATTTAATCACCGTTGAAGTGTACCTAACAGGCTCCAGCAGCAGCTTCTGCTCCTGGTAAGCTGTGATTATCTGTATTCACCTGTCTCTCCACTTTTCAGGTCAGTGGGGTGACCTGTCACTTGAGTGTTCTGATGGATTTGAGAAGAGTTGTGGATTTCCAGTTTGCTCAGCTTTTTTTTCCTTGTAAAAACAGAAGTGGTGATCCCCAACTTTTTACATGTTACACTTGAAACTGAGTCACTGAAACCTACTTTTTAGATATTATACAGTGGACATATTTATTAGGAAAAAGGGTAGTACTTAATAAACATTAGATCCTCTTCCAGGCCTGATTATTTTTTTAAGTGCTTCTAACAAATGTTGTTCCCATAAGTTCAAGCAGTTGCAAAGCCATTAAGTATTTCTTTGACATTGCAGTTTTGAAGCAATACACAAATGGGATGGGGGAAAGTCTGTATATAAACCATGAGGGTGATGTCTTGGACTCAGTTTACCACTTCTGCTGTGGTTTAGAAAGAGCTGCTTCACATCTCTGGATCTCAGCTTCTTCACCTATGGAATAGGCAGTCAATTTAAATTGCAATTAGCATGAACATTCTGCTATTCTATAGGATGATTCTTTTAAGGATTCATAGCAAAAATGAGCCTAACTTCTTGAACATATTCTTAGTTCTTATTCATGAAATACTTTATTGATATTAAGAAAATAGTTTATTGTAGCAGTGGATCTGGGTACTCTATCTGGCAGCTTTCCATTTTCTAAATGGGAAGAAGAGGACTTGCTGGTGCTCCCATTTATTTTAAACATAAGAAATTTAATTCTTAGTGGTTAACAGATTTTCTGAAAACTAGACAAACTGGGCTCAGCTGAGTAAAGTAGTTTTTGAATACCTGATTAACTGAAAGGAGGATAAAAGCTACAGATATTAAATACTGATTTTCAGCCCTTAATACACAAATTATTGAATTTTTCAACAGATTCTGTTAGAACATGAAAAGTTTGGTTAGTTAGCTGACTATTTAGGCTATTGTGCTCCAAAAAGGTAGAATTTTTGTCTTCTTTACAGGTTTTAGTAATTTCATATGAATTGACCAGCAGATTTTCTTTTGTTACTACACAGGCATAGAATGATTCTACTACTGGCCTGTATGAAATAAATTGGCATTTTTTCCGTACTTTCTTTTTCTAATCAATTTAAATATCATTTATTCAATATATATGGCATGTCAGATACTATTTTAAAGTTTAAAAATAAAATAAAAAATGATAGACAAGTCTTCAAAGAGTTAACAATTTTAAATGAGACAGAAACATGGCAGTGAAGTTAGGTCCTTGAAAGTTATACTAGAGGTAGAGAAATTGATTTGAGAGTCAACTTACAGATGGTAAATAAAAATAGGAATGTGGATGAGGTATACCAGAGAGTGAGACTCTCCAATATTAAAGAGCCTCAGTGACAAGAAAAACTATGGAAGAGAAAAATTCAAAGAAGTAATTAGGGAATTAAAATTTTGTCTTTCTTTGAGTTCCAAAATTTTGCCTTTGTTAAAACCCCAAGGCAAGTTTTGAGTGCAGGGAATTTATTTGGAATGATCCTAGGAAGTAGATGAGTGAAGAGGGGAGACAGGGAAGAGAAGAAAACCAATGAAGTTTGCTTTATGGAGCAAGTTACAGTTGTGAGCAACTGAAGTTTAACTTCACTGCGACCTCTGAGACCCAGTATAGGTATGTGTTGTAAAATTGTCTTGCCTCTAGGGTGAAGGAACTGAAGTATCGGTACAACAATTGTTGCTAGTCATTAGTTGGGTGTGTTTCTCAGTGGTCATTCATTCCCTGACACTACTGTCCTGTCATGTGTACATTGAGTAGGTTCCAGTGGTCAGAGAATCATCAGGCAAAAGAGCATCTGGTGTTGGTGGTAGACAGGCTGGGCTATCATGCATGGAAATGTTAAGTGCTTAAGAACTATGGATAGAACATTAACAGGACCTGTCAGAGTTGTGCGCCATGGGGACAATGGGAAGAGAAAGTTTCTGGGACACAGCAGTAGTGAACAATGTCAAAAATGACTGACAAATGAAATTAAGTAAAATAAAAACTGGGAATGAGTCATAAGCCAAGGAAAAAGTGCTAATAGACATGAAAAAAAGTAGAAATTATAAAAAGGAGATAGGAAATGAATCATAGATTAAGACACAGGAAGAGATGGAATGAGGCTGTGTGTGAATATTTATAACTAAAATTTAAAAAATGCATACAAAGATAAAAAATAAAATCATTAAAAAGAAAAAATACCCTTTTATGTTTTAATTCCTATATCAGTATATTCAGGAGACTCTCCTTGAGCCGCCAAGTCTGGATTAAGTGCCACGTCTTCTCTTTCCCACTCACCCTTGCTTATTTTTATGATGGAATTTACCACACAAACTCCCAATTCTTCATTTACTGCCTATGCAGGGATGGCAGGCACAGAGAGACATTAGAGCTCCATTTGGTTCATTTGAGCTATAAAACTCTGAATTACTTTGTGCCCAGCAATCTCAGGACACACGAATAGAAACTAAACCAGCATCCTGGGGGACATAAACCTGGTCACACAGTGTCCATTCCAAACAGGTTAGTCACATCCTTGATGTTTTCTCTTGACACACTGATGAGTTGTTGCAGTGCAGCCCACCATAAGAATACAGAGTGACTTCTTCTTAGCAATTACATTTTTCCTAAACAGGCTCTAGATGGAGATATTCATCTACTGTTCTTTTGTTTTCAAAAGTTGAGGTGAACAATATACTCAACAACAGAAAAAGTAAATTAAAATTATTCCTCATGTTTAACTTTCTCAAAGACTCATAGAAATGATTTAAAATATTACTTATGGCAGATAAGATATGAAAAATATTTTTGGATTGTTAATTCTGATAATTTATTAAAGTGGGAGACTGCTGCATGTTACCTCTTTCCATATATATATTTTCTAAATAAGATACAAATCAATTGCCTTTTTATATGGAATAGATTTAATCAGAAAAACAAAGGAGTTCCAACACTTCCATTTTTTAAAATCTGCACTTTGTAACAATGGAGAATAGCAAAGTCAATCCATAACAGAAAAAAGGCAAGATTTGCAAATGTTCTTGCATAGATTTTAACATTTAGGTAAGGCTCAAGGAATTATTATTATTATTTTATTATTATTACAGAATAATCGTGTGCATCACTTTCCCAGTTAATGGGCTATTCTGCACCCTGAGAAAGTAAGTTTGGAGAAGGAAAATTAAACGGATCCCAGAGAGAGACACGGGGCGACACAAGAACTAACCAACTCCTGACACAACCACAACAGGCAGGCATTAACACCTCTGAGGTTCTGTTTTCTCTGCTGTCAAAAGAGGAACATTTTCCCAGCTGTACTTTTGTAGCGTACTAAAGTAAGCAAAACCCGGATTGTGACGGAGGGCAGGAGCGCGGCGGGGCGGGGGGTTGGGGGCCGGGCCGGCTGGCAGGCGGCTGACTCCGCCCCTACGTGGCGCTGCAGGATGGGCCGCAGGCGCTACCCTTGGCTCGGGCTGCTGCTCGGGGCCGCCGGCACCGGGTACCTCCTCTGCTGGTTCTCGGGAGCTTGGGGAAGTCAGAGCTCCGAGCCTGAGCGGCCCGCGGCCTGCACACGCCCTCTGGCCGCGGCCCTGCAGCAGCACTCACGCTTCCAGCAGCTCTTCAATCTCTCCAGCCCGGTGCTGCTGTGGGGCGGCCTTCTCACCCCGGGGCTCTGGGCCGACGTGAGCCAGCTCCGAGGCCCCTACGGCTGGCGCAGCGTCTCTCTGCAAGCCATCGCCTCCACCCTGCGCCTTCTGAATGGCTCGGAGGGCGCGGAGCTGTGGGCTGCGTCCAAAAGGCCGCCCTGCGTTCGGTGTGCCGTGGTTGCCAACGGGGGCATCCTGAAGGGCTCCCGCCAGGGCCGCCACATCGACGCCCACGACTACGTCTTCAGAGTCAATGGTGCTGTGATCAGAGGCTTCGAGAAGGACGTGGGCACCAAGACCTCCTTCTACTGCTTCACGGTGAACACGATGAAGAACTCCCTCAGCAACTACTGGGACCAGGGCTTCCGCTCCGTGCCTAAAGGACGAGACGTGCGCTATATCTTCATCCCTGCGAGCATCCGGGACTACTTGATGCTGCGATCTGCCATTTTGGGTGTGCCTGTCCCGGAGGGTCCGGACAAAGGCGATGTGCCTCAGGCCTATTTTGGACCAGGTGCCGCCGCAGGTAAATTCAAGCTACTACATCCAAACTTCATCCACTACCTGATAGAGAGGTTTTTGAATTCGAGCCGTATTAACAGAGGCGCTAAAGACATATACATGCCTAGTACTGGGGCCCTCGTCCTGCTGACGGCTTTGCATACTTGTGACGAGGTTAGTGCCTATGGATTTATCACAGAAAATTACCGGGAATTTTCTAATCACTATTTTGACAAAAAAAAGAAGCCACTGAAGTTTTATGCAAACCATGATCTGCATCTTGAGGCCACTCTGTGGAAGGACTTGCATCAGGCTGGCATCATGCAGCTGTACCAGCGCTGACCCCGACCTCCATGAGCCCTTCACTTCTTGCAAAGCCTTGGCTCTCATCCTCTCAGGGGCCAAAACTTTTTCTTTTTTTTAAATCACCTCCACTCTACCTCCCCCCTCTTCCCAAAAGGGGATAGGAAAGGTAGGTTCACAACTCTTAGCAAAGTGATACAATGGATTTTGCGTCTGACTCTTCCAAGACAACTCCCCTCTGGATCTTACGTGGCCATTCCATCCTTAGCCAAGGAACAACAGACTGCTTTGCTTGATTCGTTCTAAAATGAACGATAACATTAAGAAGTTAAGATGTACCCAAGAAGATAAGATGTATCCTGCCTAGCAGGGGCAGTCATACCTCAGAGTTTAGCATCCTGAAGTAATGTAATCCTGTAATGTAATACATTATTGTTTACAATACATCCTGTAATTACAGGATGTAGCATCCTGTAATGTAATACATTACATTTGGTATTGTAATATTTTAGGAATGTCAGTCCACCCATTCCAGACCTATCACTTAACCAAGATCAAGCAGCAGTACAGACTAATGTGCACAGCCTAGCCCCAAATCTCCCATTGGCTATGTCAAGATTTCAAAGAACACTCCAAATGAAGCCTTCAGCAGTTTAAGGATAAGCCTTAAGGATATTTCTGTAAGATGTTAATTCTCTGAGAGTGTGATCAATTTGCTTCTGCCTCGTGGGGAGTGGAGCCTTGTCTGATAAAGTGGGAGCACCAAAAAAAAAAAAAAAAGAAAAGGCAATGTAATTTGAGGTTAAATAATGACACAAATGACAAGTAATCGTTTGTCTCTTTTTTTTCTTTTTGCGATGTAGATAAAGCATATAAAATGCAGGGTGAGGTGTGAAAATCACTCTTAGAAATCAAGAATCTGGTGAAGTAAACAGGGTTGACAGGGGAGGGAGTTTGGGGGACTGGGTGAAAAAGGCAAAGGGATTAAGAAGTACAGTTGATAGTTACATAATAGTCACAGAGATATACATTATAGTGTAGGGAATACAGTCAATAGTATTGTGATAACAATGTATGGGGCCAGGTGGATACTTGAAATGCCAGGGGGGACTATATAGAATACTATGCTGTACATCTAAAACTAATATAGAATAATATTGAATATAAACTAATTGAAAAAAATCCAAAAATTGAACACAAGAATCAGGTGAGGTTTTTGGGTGTTTAATGAAGGTGTCAGTAATACTGAAGACTGCCTGCCATGGAAGTAAATTCTGTTACAGGTTTCTTACCATCTTGTTACAAAACAAAACAAAACAAAAAACAAACCCAGTAAGGGGTGAGTAATAAACCTTAGGTCAAGTCATAATTTCAATGAATTTAAACTGAGGTAGCTGATAATCAGTTTAATAGTTTTAGACGGATTAGAATTGTATCTTCTGGGCTTTCATTGAGACTTGATTGTTTCCCAGACTGGTTTAAGGAAGTCTCATCCAACATATGATCACCATGCAGCCCCATTTAACCAAGACCTGTGATTTAATGTCTTGGTAACTAGAAGCTTAGGAGAGTCTATTCTACTACACCAGGTGTTTAGCTGACAAGAGACTTTCCAAGAGAGCATTTGCCTTGGAAAATTCACCAAGGATCAGCATCTGGCATTCAGTTCTGTGGTTTTGGAAGGCGGGGTTTATCAACACATAACACTAGGAATGAATGAACTCAACAACTAGAATCAAGAGACTAATGTCCATTAAACTGCAACTCTAACAAAAAAACCTGATAAATGAACAAAATATGATTGTGATAGTGTTGTAAAAAAAGTTATATACAAGGGAGGCATTACAATAACCTTTGACTATTGGCAGAGTAGAGTATACAGGACAGATCCAACCTAGCAATAGAAGCTTAATTCTTGGAAATGAGAAAGTTGTAGATCTAACCCCTTGATTTGTTTTCCTGATCTTGAAAAGCTAGCTGATTTTTCTGATTTATATGATTGGCAAAAGTGGAGTGTGAGTGAAGCAGCAAAGCCACAGAAGATGGCTCTGCTCAAAGAGATTTAAATTTCCTGAAACTCAAGTTGGTGAGGTTGTTTTCTATGTTTTTCAAGTTGGCATTTGAATTTATGAGATGGATAAACTTACTCATTTTTACATGAGGATGACTGGGGGTGGGTTAGGACTTTCTTCTGCCTCCCTTAGGGTGAAGCTAAGTCAAGACAAGGAGTAGCAGAGCTGAACTGCTTCTTTAGAGCAGATTGGGCAACTCCACATGATAAGACTAGGTGTGTTATTCAAATGCAGCTATAATGCTAGTTATAGCACTGCTGATCTCAGACTGGCAGACACACATGCACACCCACTCCTACATATCCATTATGTTACTGATCAGCATGCTCAATATCTGCTTTTCTTATCACTATGAATGGTAGACTGAATATTAATCTTACCAACTAGATATGGACAGACCTCATCACATATTCATGGCTTATTGACTCCATCTGTTGCCCAAAGACCTCTAGGGCACATTCTGAGTTTGCGTTCTTCATTCAGAATGACACCAATTTCTACCTTTACTTCATTGTGGTATTGTTTTATGTCATTATTGTGTATTCCAGTAAACACTTTTGGCTACGAATATGAATGTGGTCATACTGGAAGTGCTGCTGTGGCCAGAGACATGACATAAAGGCATATCTTGGAGATATTGTGGGTTCTGTTCCAGACCCCTGCAATAAAGTGAATATTGAAATAAAGCGAGTCACACAATTTTTTTTGTTTCCAAGTGCACATAAAAGGTATATTTATATTATACTTCAGTATATTAAGTGTGCAATAGCATCATATCTAAAAAATGTACATACTTTAATTAAAAAGTACCATATTGCTAAAGAACACTAACCATCATTGGATGCTGTTGAAAAGTGGCGCTAACAGACTTGCTCCATGCAGGGTTACCACAGACCTTTGACTTGTTAAAAACAAACAACTAAAAGCAATATCTGCAAGGCACAATATAGCAAAGCACAATAAAATGAGGTGTGCCTGTAATTCCAAGTGTATGCTACTCAGAATGTATTTCCATAGCGCTTATAGTGCAGATTCACTTAGCAAATGCATTTCTGGAACAGTTCTGTCTTGCTGTTGCATTATAGTAAAGTTGTGTGCAGAATATGAAGGTAAAGTATGTGGATTTGAAATCAGATAGACCTGGGTTTGAGTATGGCACCAAAAAGTACTAACTATGTGACCTTGAACAAATTGTATAATTCCCTTGAAGTGGAATTTGTGGAGCAGCATTCAGATCCTCCCTGTCAGGGATGCAGCTCCAATTTCACGAGTAGATGAGAATGTTGGTGGCTGGCAGCTTCAAGTCCGTTTCTGATAATTGCTCTCAGCTGAGTGCAGCTGCTTCATCTAAGGATACATTTCCTCTCTGGGGGCAGCCTGTCTGCAATGATTGTTTTTTTCTTTATTTTTTGTTATTGTTTATGCTATTACAATTGTCTCCACTTTTCCCCCATTTACCCACCTCTACCCATTCTCCCCTCATCCTTCTCTCAGGCCATCACCACACTGTTGATCTCACTTATATGTGGAACCTAATGAACAAAATACACTGATGAACAAAATAGAAACAGATGCATGGACACATGGAACAGACTAATAGTTGTCAGGAGGAATGTTAGGGGGGCTGGAAGAAAGAAGGTGAAAGGGTTAGCCAAAGAACTATATACTTGATCCGTGGACATGGACAACAGTGCAATGATTGTTGCAGAAGTTTCACCCTTACCTTGATTTGGGAATGTCTGAAAGACTATCCCAGTTCCAGATTCCTTTGGGATCATCTGAGGTCTTTGTTAAAACTAATTGCAAGTTCAGCATCTTTCTCCACCCGGTCCTCTGCAGATGGTGCTCCCCAATAAAATTATTGAATGCAAATATCTGTTTCAGAGTTTGTTTCCCCAGTACATACTTGCAACCCGTCTTTATGTGTCTATTTTCTCAATACTGACTACTTCACAGTTTTGAAGATAATTTAAATATAACTCATAGAAAGCATGTCACATACTTCCTGGCAGAGTTCGTAGATAAAGAATGACATGCTGTTATTGTCACTGTCACAAACTGCAGGGAGCCTAGCTTTCTTCCTGCCATCACCTGCCTTTCTTCCTTTCACCACTAAGCTTTTCAAACAGCTATTTTGTGTCTGCTATAGTATTTTACTTTTCCAGCACTATTCTTACCATCTGTAATCTGTTTTTTTTAACTTTTACTATCAACACCATGGTTTTTTCATGTAGAATAGGCCTTAAAATTAGGGCTCCAAATTATGTGTTTCTTGACATTTTGGGCAAAGCAGGAGTACTTCAAATGGCCTAATCACAAGTTCACTTCCTGACTCTGATCCCAGAAATAAGATTTCATAGCTAAACAACTCTCATTATCATGGGGACCAGGCACAGTCCCTACTTCAGTTCCCCTGCCAGCCTGGGGAATAATTCAGACAAGTGAACCGCATCCCCCAGTGGGAAGCAGGAGTTACCCTCAAAATGGAAAAGCCAGCATTCATGCTGCCTGTCACATACCAGATCCAATAAGTACAGAGAGGGATTGAATCTTTATGCATGCTTTATTCAGATGGCCAGCGATCTGAGAAGACTGTGGGTATGTACTCTAACAGACCGTCTTAAGTTCTATTTTCAACTGACCCTTTTTATAAGGAGAAGAAAAGTGTAGGTAAAGGAATTGGAATTCAGGGGGAAAGTGAATCAGATAAAAGTTGCAGCATTGTTTCATCTGTGTCCTGGGCAGTAGACATCTCACTCTGGAGCACAATGGCTCATATGTCATCTTGATTGCTTGAAACTTCCTGAGACACAGAGGTGGAGCTGCTTGTGGTCTCCTAGAGTCAGGGTGCATCATACCTTCAGTTCCTAAAACAATAGCTTTTTATATACATTGATTACTAAGCTTATTAGCTATTACCTGAAACTAATTTTTTTTCCAGCATTTGAGCCCCCCCATAAGACCCCACTTTTTTAATACTACAAAACCCGGTTGTTCACTCTGTTACCCATTGCAACTTCATGTGGTCCTACATGGTATATGATATACTCTCCTCCCACCATGTGAGTGTATGTGACAAACAAATTGCTCTTCTGACTTTCTCTTAATTCTAACCTGCATTTTCCCAGTGGCCTTCAGGCAAATGGCTTCTGCTGTAGGTAGCT